CACGGGACAACTCTTTGTCTGGGTGTTATTTGTGTTTGTGAAATTGTATGTTAGTAAACGCATAGACGACACTAGAAAATACTAGTGTGAGGCGAAGTTTTAAAAATAAAGTAATTAATAGTTTTATAAACTGCGTTTAAAAAGCCGACGTCAACCCAAAAGTCGGTTAATTAATATACTTAAACCCTCTCTTAAATGTAACAAACACTTTTATGGAAACTGCATCAAAATCGGTTTAGCCAATCACGAGATAATTGTGTACAAATACACATACATGTCATACAGGTTATACTGAAAACCTCCTTATTTTAAATCGGTTAAAAATAGTCTTAAAGTCAAAGCCGGGGCTTTAACTTTCGCAGTGGACATGTTTGGACCTATATTATAGGGTTCATAACATAATTTGGCGTAAACTCTCCAAATAGCACTTCTCTAATTTAAAACAGAGATTCACATTTTGAAAAGTAAGGTGTTCTGATTATTAGGAGTAATATCTTTATATGTCCCTGTGAGTCCCTCTTTGACTCGAAACTAGTAGAGCTTGTCTCAGTATATTTACGTAAGTAGCCCATACTTTTTAGTTATTAGAAGTCATTTTTTTCTTTTACTATAGCTACTACATATTTTGTTATTTAACACTCAATAAGTTGCTAACATAGGACTGCCTCGTTGGTCGAGTGGTCGTAAGTGCTACTGCCGGGCAAGGGGTCTCGGATTCCATTCCCGGGTATGACAAAAGTATTATTGGGTTTTTAAAAAAATCTCAGTAGTAGCACGGAGTCCGAAATTGTGCCCGGTATATGGCAATAGGCTCATCCCCTATTACATGGGACTTATAACATAAATAGCGAAAGTGGGTGTTACATTGTACAGTGGTATTAACTATTAAGTGCCGTAATGTGCACCTTTGCCTACCCCTTCGGGGATTGTCGCGGAGAACCTAACGGGTAACCGGGGCTCCGGCTCGACGTGCAGGAGAAGGAACGGGGTGGTTTTTAGTCAGTAAGAGTCTGACACTCCCTCCCGCCTCACCCAGGCGGGAGCAGTCATTCGATGATTTTCCACCCTTAAAAAAAAAAAAAAACCCTTCGGGGATAAAAGGTGTGATGTCATGTTATATAGGTCAAATGTTAAACCTTAGTCAGTTAGGATTAGAGATATCTATAAATTGGCAAACAAGTACCTATATTATTACCTACAAATATTAAAAAGGGAATGTTACGATGGTTTGGACATGTAGAAAGAATGGATAAAGCAGATTTACGAAAAGGAATACACAGCGGATATGTATATGGCCGTCGTCGGTAAAGGGCGCCCTAGACAGACATATACTGACTAGATTGGCGATATATATTAAAGAAGGGCCAAACGAAAGTACCCATAACCGACGAGCATGCATGAAAATATTGATGACTGTTGATGAAGCGAAAGAGGTGTGTAAGAATCGTAGCAATTGGCGCTCCATAGTCTCTGCCCACTCCTATGGGAGACAGACCTGAGGTTATGTATGTATGTACTGAAAAATCTAAACCCGGGCAACCAGCAACCGCGCAACCAATTTGTGTGAACTACAAATTGTTGTTTCGGATCTGGGTGTCATGTGTATCTAATACTGTATGTTTGTAAACGCACCCACGACACAGGAGAAAATCCTATTGTGTGACAACGTTTTTTAAATAAAAAAATAAATGTTTAACGACTTACGTACCAAATAACCGAGGAGGTAGCGACAATAATAATTACAAGATTGTGTCAGCCTTATCTGATAATTCAGAATAAATAATGCCAACCTCATCTAGCTTAAAAATATTACGTCTAACAGTACTGTTTTGTAATCTAATAAATTAGTACTAGATAAATATTTGATAGAGTGAAAATATTGCTTATTTTTAGATTTCTTTTTTTGGTACCTAGTTACATTAACTCGTCGAGTACCGGTTTTGTAGACACAATTATAGAACAATAGGTTGCGGTCACCGGTGACCGCTTGGTGTTTGATAGTTTAAAAATCTAATTATTTCGTAAGTAAGGTAATGAACAAAATATAAAAAATATAATAAACAAAATATAAAAAATGTCGTATAATAAAACAATACTTAGATAAAACGAATCAAAGTCTACGAGTGGGGGCTAAAACGTAATTTCTACGTATAAAATGTACATAGAAGTGACGTCACGCGATATCTTAAATCAATATAATGTCGAAAGTATTAGTTTCTGTAAGAAAATAAGAAATACGTGTGTAATGATTTAAGATAATCTACCAGACGGACATTAAAATAAAAATTAGTAATCTACCCTATTATGTTCCCTCTATTGTAATGGGACTCAACATAACTAGTGTACTAGTAACGGAATAATACCACAGACCACAGCCTCACAGAAGACCAACGTGAAACAACGCTTGCGTTGTGTTTTGTCGCGTGAGTGAGGTCCAATTACCCCTCCCCCCCTTTCCCAATCCCTGAATCCAAACAATCCTCAAATTCCTAATCCCAAAAGACCAGTAACGCACATGTCATGCCTCTGGTGTTCCAGGTGTCCATGGGCGCCGCCGATTGCTTACCATCAGGTGATCCGTCTGCTCGTTTACCGGCTTATTCCATAAAAATTTAAAAGAAGTTCCTGATCGCGGTCATATTAAGCTGTGTTCACATTTGGCGAATGCTCCGCGAATGCGATGCTCGCGAGCCGCTCGCGTGCAGTAATAAATAAAAATTTTAAATGAGGAAACTACCACCATATTTGTAGTATTTAGTAGGTACACATCTGTTTGATTTTACACGATGTCCGTTATCTTATAATCATAGCGATTCGGAAATGGGACGCGAACAGGCGAACTTAGTCTATGCTCACCTTTGCCTGTTCTTTCAGGGTTACTACCATCATGACGTTGTGGGTATGTGATAAATAAAATATTTTAATATTTACATTAGACTGCCTCGTTGGCCAAGTGTACATTATTTTATTAATACATTGTACAGTGGCATAATGTGCACCACTGCCTACCCCTTCGGGGATAAAAGGCGTGATATTATGTTATGTAATATTTATTAGAAAGATCAGTTTACTTAGGTACACCGCTAATGAGTAAAATAACGCAAGTAAGTATTTGAAACAAACACAAAATATGCTTCAATATTTTTTATTTTAAATTGTCGTTTTTTGTACAAAAAATACTTATCTATACGTAAAAATTAAAACTATATTAAATTAGGTATTTAATTACGAACGACATTGTCAAGATATACTTTTTAATATGTTTACTACAATCACAGAGAAACGATCATACTAGACAAAAGAATATAACTAATATTACTTTATTCCGGAATCAAATTAAAACTTATTTCTCGATACTTAAAAGATAAGTGGAGAATTTTTAGGTAAAAACATATAAAAGACAGTTTTATGTCGTGTGAGGTCGTGGTGGCCCGGAGGTTAAGACGCCCGCTCTTCATGCATGAGGGTGCGGCTTCGAAGCCTACCAATAGCAAGTACCAATGTGACTATTACCGAAGATTACTTAGACACCACTGACAAACGGTGAAGGAAAACATCGTGAGGAAACCTGGGCTTATCATTTCTAATTATTAGTTTGAACTCGCCAACCCGCATTGAGCAAGCGTGGTGATTAATGCTCAAACCTTCTCCATGTGAGAAGAGGTTTTCCTCAGCAGTTGTCACTTATCGACTGTTGATGATAATTTTGTTCTCTTATGTTTTTTGTTCTTTTCTTTATTTTTAAGTTTATTATTAGGGAATAATTTTGTATTTATGTATAGCTGTATTTTTATTTTTTATAATATTTGTTTTGTGTGCCCATTGCCAAATAAAGGTTTTTTCTTTCTTTCTAATGTATAAATGTAACGGGTCATGTCACGTGACAGATTCTGATGTGCTTCGTGTCAATGTGTGCGTTCTGCGTGTAAGTCTATAGTAGCCAGGAGCCACAGTCGTTGTTTCAAGAGACTATCTCAGCCTTTTTTCAACGTCGTTGTCTATAACACGTTCAGATTTACAATCAAGTGTTTGAAATTAAAACATTAGCTACAGTTAGTTTCTTTATTGTATTTACTTGTATAAAAACTTTAATCTTTTTCGTTTTTATCTTTGTAAGTTAATAACTTGAATTTATACTTTGTAATTATATTTTAGTCATAAGAAGTTAAAATAAACAAAATAAGAATAAAACTATTTATGTTTCTGTTATTGTTAATGTATTGTCATATAAGTAATAATATCTTTATTTATCACAAAATTGATGAGCTTTACTTTATAAAATATATTATTATTGGAATGATAAATGAAGAAAATAATTATAAGTAATTATTAATTTTATCGATAATCTTTTCTACTTACTAAAAAAAACCAACAAAATTTCTTTGGTCTGTATCTATTAATACATACAAATATAAAATTTATTTATTTAAACTTAATCAAATACAATTATTATCACAAATAATGTCGTAATACTTAAAACAAAACACAAAATCATTTTTTTAAGAGTGGCGCTGTCATTATTTTTGGCACTAATAGTAAAAAAAAAATTGTCAAATAATCCAATCTACAATCTATGTAAACAAAAATGAATTTTCGTTCGCTAGTCTCGCTCGTGAACGCCTGGAACCGATTTGATTAATTTTGGTCTTGAAATGTATGTTAAAATCCAGGGAAAGTCTAGAAGGTGAGAGAAAAATTTTAGGTGGTACGAAGTTTGCCGGGTCAGCGCTGGTATAGTGATATTTTTTAATACTAGTTGTTACCCGCGACTTCGTTCGCATGAAATTATTCATATTTCTTGTTAATTTATACTTTTTTGACGCGACAACGTATTGATTGGCGAGGCGTATTTGAGAGCATGAAACGGAACGTTTATTGTCTACTCAAGATGGCGACTGCGATTTGTCTGTCAGTGTCATTAGTATGAATTAATAAAACGAAATAATCTCTGAAATCCCAATTTTGCGGATATATGTTGTCGACTCGAAATCGATATTTTTTTATGTTTTGTTATTCCGGTAATGTTTCGATCGAGTCTACCGTACCCCTTGACGAAATTATTAATAGAGATGTGTGATTGAAGATAAGAATATCTGTGATAATAACTGTATTTTCTACTATGAATTAAATCTAAAATGGCAACATTTAGAAGTATCAACACATTTCATTAAACTCCCTTCTTCACAATATCACAGTACATTCTGATACGCATAAATTACGATTTTTATGACTTCTATCATATCATCTGACATTTTAATTGTAAATCTTGTTTAACATTTTGTCAAGAAATATGTATTAATATTTTTTTTTTGATAAGGAAAACGAATACCTATTTCATTAATACAACAGAAGATGATAAAAAGACTATGAGGTTTATTTAGATATAAATAAATTATCGTTTAATTTACAGTTCAATCATACTACACTTATCGTGATGTTAATGAAATTAAATACAAATTTTGAAATTCGATATACCAAACATATTTTTAGCCTTGGACGGAATTCTAATAGTTACAACAACATGCCACAGAATAGTCAAAATAATATTGATAATGAGTTTTTATTACTGTAACCTAATTGCGAACAATGGTAATAAATTGGCTAGATCTCGATCGGACCAAATTACTTAAAAAAAGTCTTATACATAAAAATCAAATTCACAATAAAAATTAAAATCACCAACATCCAAACGCAGATACTCTTTCAATTCAACTTAACGCTATTCTATGTACATAATACGAGTCCATACACATTTTCATAAAAAAAATATCATTTCACTATATTCTGACGTCACAATACAATCTGTCAGTTGACGTCACGTCCGCACTTTTCCAACGATACGTTGAAGTTCTCGACCTTTAGAAGATCTACATTCCATATTTGAGTTTAAACTAATAAAGTATTTCATATAGGATTGAGCTTTAATTCGGCCTCGTCTTTAGGCTTTTCGAATATAGATTCCTTTTTTATTGTGTGTGGTTTTCTCGCCCAACACGTTGCCATGGTGACGAGGATTGCGAACACGAGCGCTGCGCACGCGCAAACGGTGCCGCCCCAATCAAAGATGGCGCGCACTAGCCGCAGCTCGGCTATCACGTCGTCTTCCACCTTTACTCGTTGTTCCACCCAGAATATTGGAAATAGCATTCTAGGTACGTCTTCATAAAGACTGTGGACAAAAGATAGAAGAATATTTATTACAAGTTATTTAAATAATATAATGATTTTTATAATCAGGGTTTTGTTACTTCGAAAACTTACCCGATATTCTCACTGGGTTCTAAATATAAATTGAGCTGGAATCTCGCAGCTACATCCAACGGGACTCCCAGTTTCTGAAACAAAACATTGACAATATAACATTGTAATTTGTAAACCACGGACGATTTTCTACTATCACAATAGACCAGAAAGTAGCTTATAATAATATGTACAGTGCTTCATGTTTATATTATAAAACATACAAAATTAACTATGTATTATGTTTTCGGCTTTCGGCGACCTCGTCTTTTGTCTCAGAATACTGCTCAAGAATGTAAACCTCTAATATGGCTTGGCTTGATACTAGTCGAGTTCCTCGTCCAACAGTTATGTGAGTAAACCAGCCAGTGAGAGTTAGTATGAGTTAGGCATAAACAAAATAATACAATGTGTTTCATACTCACAGGTTCAACAGCAAAGTAAAAGGAATGGGCATCAGGATCTGGCTGCATGCCGGTCACCAGCTCCCTGAGCTGAGGATCTCCGTGTAAGAAGTGAGGGAGGGTCATGAAGGCCGGGGACCCGAACCTACAGGCTGACACGTTCATCACTCCGCTCCAAGCGCACTCCCCATTGCAAAAACATGTGTTTGATGGAGAGGTTGACGCTGAAAAGAGAGATTACTTAATAAATAAATAAGTTAGCCTGCAACTCTCTACCATGAAGAAGAACATTGATCCTTAAAAATGCTAAAATGAGTAACAAAGATTTTAGCATAACTTTTCTGTCTTAGATCTAAATCCATTCACAGATTTTCTAAAAGTTTTTTTTTATACTAGTACTGCAGACGCGAAATTAGTTTTGTTAATTATTGTTAGGGTTTGTCTCTGTTGCCAGAGTGACTACGAGTGTCCAATCCAGGAAACCTCATCATCATCAACAGCTCATAATAGTCATGCTAGACTGGATTCCGATAGTGGAGCTTAAAGATGGATTTGTAAAGAACACCCAGCGCCATCTAGTATAATTTATCCAAACAACTACAAACAACTATCATGAAGATTGAGCACACATGCAAACCATCCGCCTTTATAAGCAGAGTTATCTTCGAATAAATCATCATTCTACTTGATAGAGGATCAGAGTTCGGAAGCCACGCCCCCTTCTCTGAACCTAAGTACGACTAACTCCAGTTCGATAGCCTAGCGGTCTTCTGAAATTAGCCAGCTAGGAGAGGTCTGAAAGACGATAGCCACGCAGTCCCTTTCATCCTTCCACTTAGGGTTGCAATTATCTAGATTAGTTTATAGTAAATTTATGTACCAGTGAAGTTGCCAATAAATAAATAGTCAACAAGAACACCGGGGCTTTAATTTCATAACCACTAACACTACAGGTTTGTCGCGGAGAACCTAACGGGTAACCGGAGCTCCGGCTCGACGTGCAGGAGAAAGAACGGGGTGGTTTTTAGTCAGTAAGAGTCTGACACTCCCTCCCGCCTCACTCAGGCGGGAGCAGTCATTCGATGATTTTCCCCCCTTAGAAAAATAGACTTACAGTTATCAAAACTCCGCTGCGTTAACGCATACTTGTTGAAGGTCAAGCCGTCCTGTTCGCCAGTGTCCACATACTCCATATACACGGTCCGACAGAGATCTGGCACGAACATCGGCAGCAGGGAGTCTTCCGTCAGGTTGCGAGGCATGAACTCTCCAGCACTACCAGCCAGCTGGAACATTTAAGTCCAAATGTGAGTTTTTTTAGTCAATTTTCTATTCCTACGAGCTAAGTCTGATGAGCAGTTAAGCAGATTTTAAAGTCACAACTTCATACTAAAAATTTATAAATCTGCCAGTTAGTAGAAGTTTAAGTGGCGACTATATTCGATTTAGGGACTTAAGGATAGTGTTTCTACAAATGTAAAGCTTGTAAAATTATAGTGAAAAAACATAGAGTTTGTATAATTAAAGCAAACGGAAGGGCTACAAGATCTCATCATGATATTTAGAAACGTTTTAAGTATTCAAACTAGCTGCGCCGGTTCTCAGATATTTTCAAATAACATGACATCACGCTTCTTATTCTCGAAGGAGGAGGCGGAGGTGCACATTATGGCACTTAATGCCACTGTACAATATAACACCCACTTTTCACTATTTATGTTTTGGTCCCATGTATTAGGAGGCGAGCCTATTGCCATATATCGGGCACAATTCCAGACGTCGTGCAATTCCAGTTAAAAACCCAGTAATAGTTTGCCCGACCCGGGAATCGAACCCGAGGCCCCTTGTCTGGCAGCACACTTGCGATCACGGTCAACGAGGCATTCTCAAATAACATCAATATGATTACTTACTTGAGCACACTCTCCTTCGTAATATGGGATGTGGTCTTCATAGTTCCACCTCATGATTTGCCCGGGGAGAGTACCCGCTGCTCTCCCTGTCGTGACTTCCATGTAGCCGTCGGTATCCAAGGAGTTGTTCCTCTGGAATTACAGACATCGTTTGGTTCGTTAGTTATATGTGTCAAATAAAATACAACTGGATTTATTATGGTTTTAGGATACATTTTGGATATGGTTTACGATAGTATTACTAATTACTGATTATAATTATGTTTTTTTTTTCATTTTTTAGAGAATGGGGTAGACGACTAATTTTTATTTTAATGTCCGTCTGGTAGATTATTTAAAAACATTAGACACGTATTTTTTATTTTCTTACGGAAACGAATAGTTTCGAAGATATATTGATTTGAAATGTCGCGTGACGTCACTTCTCAGTACATTTTATACTAAGAAATGACGTTTTAGCCCCCACTCCTAAACTTTGATTCGTTTTATCTAAGTATTGTTTTATTATACAACAAAATAAAAAAATACGTGTCTAATATTTTTTTATTACCTAAGTTACGGACTAATTATATTTTTAATTTTCATACCCTGTCATCATCCCCATT